AAAGGCTGGGTAGGTGCTCAGGTATATTAAGTAATGGAAAGTATGCTCTATAGTAGTCAGAGACAGAATTTTCTCTGTGAGGGCTGAACCTTCACCAGTGACAAAGGGCTATGCCATCTCTGTACTTGCAATTTTCTCTGATTGCTGAATGGAAGGTGTATGTGACTGGCAGGAGTCTGGTGCAAAAAGCAGGGTGCTGTGCCATGAAGTGTCAGCTGAGACAGCATGAAATACTGAATAGCTGCTTGTTATACTGAGCAGCAACTCAGAGAGCTGTTCCTGTGGGGAAATAAAAAACAAAAGCAATGTGTTATTCACATAATTAAAGATGGTTTTATAATATTATGCACAGGAGGGTTGAAAGACATGCCTACTGAAGTGTCCTCAGGCTGCAGTACAAGCTTCTTTCAGGAGAATTCAGGTTACCTAATTTTCAGCTGTAGCTGATATTTGCAACTCCACTAATCAATCAGGCCCATTAGAGTCAATGAAGGAAAGCAGGCATTTTTGAGGTTTGAGCGATCTGGTGTGCTTGAAGCATCTTCTGGGAGATAAGACACATCTTCCACTAGGGGAGACTGCTTCTCATGTTGAGAGTAAAGGAAATGCAGGATGTCTAGCTTAGCTGTGAAGTGAATGTTAGTCAGATAAATCACACGTCTTGTACTGAGTCTATGAATGTGTCTGGTTCTTCCTGTAGATCTTGTTCCTCTGCATTTAGTGGCAACTTGGTAATTTTGGAGACTGCCTGCACTGTGTTGCCTCCCAAAACACTTTATATTCAAATGCTGTCTTAAGAGATTGTACTTGCCGTAGCAGGTAGATGCCTCCACTCGTCCCTCTCAAACTCAGGAGAGCTGAAAGTTCAGTGGGCCATTCTTACATAAAACCTGGCAACAAACCAGAAAAAAAAGGTTCAAAAGCAAATGAAAAAAGATCAGAAAGATCTTCTAGATAGCAAAGAAAATTTCTGCCTAGTGGTTAACATTTGGCATTGTTCTAAGTAACTGTAAAACAGGTCTTTCAAGAGGAAATGTTGCATGGTGTTTCTGACTCCTGTCTTTGATTTATACCTTATATTTTCCTGCAGATTGGGTCATACTTTGGGGGTGTTATTACAACCATCGACATTGACAGGGACTCGTTTACGGACCTTCTTCTTGTTGGAGCTCCTATGTATATGGGAACTGAGAAAGAAGAACAAGGGAAAGTATATGTTTATAGTCTGAACAAGGTAATGTTGGTGTTTATTGACCAGGAACAGAACATGCTTCTTACTGTCTTCATATCCTTATTTCAAAGAAATAGGATAATTTGAGCTGGGAAGATGACCTATTGAGAACAGAAAAACATGATTTTGACAACTGAGAGTATAAAACAGATTATTTTTTAAAACTTTCTTTTCTTCTCAAACTCATATTTTCTCACCTTTTTTCTTACAGAATATATTATATAGATAAGCACAGTATTCTGTAAACTGCAGTGGCATAAATGCAAATTTATGGGATTAATTTTCTATCACATTTTCCTTCTGTTTTTACAGAGTAGGGAACAGTAGGGCTAATCCATCATAAAAGTGTGTACTCCCATATCCCTGTCACTTGCATACCGACCTAGAGCTAAACCTTGTATGTCCAACAGCTTTTAAACATGACACAACTAGATTGAGGAATATACTATCTACACCTCAGCTTTTTCATTTGATTACTCTTCTTCCAGTGTCTGTGCATACTTTTTCTTCTTTTCTTCTTTTAGTCCAGCACCATTTTGTATTATTAGAACAGTTATCAAAATATGGCCTAGCAATGATGGTCTCCTAAAATACTATTGTAAGGAAAGGACCTGAAAAGTGGATATATTTGACAAAGAATTCCGACAGTTTCTACATGCATGTTGCTAACAGCAAGTTGCTGGTGAACAGAGTTGGCGAGAAAACAAGAATTCTATGTCCTCCAGTAATGTGAGGGTTTGAAATTTGTTTTTCCTGTGCTTTCTTTTATCCATCTCCAAAGAGAAAATATGCAGCAACTGCTTGCTGCTGCTTGTCTCTAACATGGAACTCATGGGACCAATCTCTTGGAAAGATTGGCTACATCCTATACTGTATGTATGGTTTCAGTCTAGGATGCACACTAGACCAGAAGAGTAGAGTATGTGTCTGCTGAGGACAGAATTCAGTCTGTGTCAGAGAAATGTTGTCCTTTGTTCTGGAATAACAGTATTGCCATCTGTGTTTCATCAGAAACTTGGCTTATTTCTCAGATTAAGAAAATGTCTTTAGAAGAACTCTTTAGACTGTCTTGAGAATCAAGTGCTTTACTTAAAATAACACTGAAATATTGTTATGATACTGTGCTTTCCTGTGAACCTCTAACTTGAGGAAATGTGCAGAAGTATCTAGATGCAGAAAGAGAAGGAATGAGAATGCCTTTCCCATCCATTGCTCAGAGAGAACATTTGAATTACAGTTACAGAATCAGTTTCTACACTGCACTCCATCACTGGGAATAGGATGTAATTGTTTAATTCATCGGTTTGTCTTCTGGGCAGGAGCTCTTAAAAGCCTGCCTTTTGAAAATGTCAATGGAAATCCATGAATTGTAAATCTCTTCTTCCACAGACAAAGTTTGAATATCAGATGAGTCTTGAACCTATAAAGCAAGCGTGCTGTTCGCCGCTCAAACAGGACACCTGCAAAGTTCTTAAGAACGAGCCCTGTGGTGCACGCTTTGGGACTGCCATTGCTGCAGTGAAGGATCTCAACCTTGATGGATACAATGACATTGTAATAGGCTCTCCCTTAGAGGATGATCATCGGGGAGCTGTTTATATTTATCATGGCCATGGCAACAAAATCAGTAAAAAATATTCTCAGGTAAGAAGTAAGGCTTTACAGATTGGCAGCCACGCTGTAAGTGTATGTGGCACAAGTCCTGTTTTCCCGTGTTTTCCCTACGTAATATCAAACAGTGACTTCACCTTTCATGAAGACAACTTTTGTAAAGTGCTGTGTACTTTTACACTCATACTGATTTAACTGAATTTGACTCTAATGTTCGAAAATATATTTGCATGTTTTTATTAGAAAACTTCTAAAATATTTTTCTGGCTAGAAAATAGCTATTTTGCAATTCTAAAAATTTATAGCCCTCATCACCGTGGTAACCATTTTAGGAGTACTGTAATGAAAATTTAATATATTTAAAACGTCTTAAAAGCCATCTAACTGCCAACAAACGTGTCTTGAATGTTCCTAGAAAATCCTTCAATATGCACTGCATAAACCTCTTAATGTTTTTCACAGCGTATTGCATCAGGTGGAGATGGGGAAAAAGTGAAATTTTTTGGCCAGTCTGTGCATGGAGAAATGGATTTGAACGACGACGGGCTGATTGATGTCACCATCGGAGGCCTTGGTGGGGCTGCCCTCTTCTGGTATGGACTGTCGTAGCAGCTGTCGGGCCAGAAAGTCATCATTTGTCTTGGAAAACAATTTGAACTTGAATCCACTACTGTTTGGACTATTGTGAGGAAACTGGTTTCATCTCATGTTTTGACACTAGCTGTGAATTTTCATGTCTCTCTGGAGGAACCAGCATAAAACTTAACAGATAACAGTAATAAATATAGGAAATGTTTAGAAACCTTGTTAGCCTAGTATAAAGACCTTGTTTTCCTAGACCGTGCTCAAAATAGAAGCTGATTTCACTTGTGGCACTAAGTAAAATACAAAAAAACCCCAAACCTACATGTTCCCTTTTTCACACTATATTGCGTATTATGTTGTTAGTAATATTGAGGACAGCTTTGAATATAAAGGGGTCACTAAGAAAACTCATTTGACTTCCTAATAAGAATACTCTGGTTTGACTCGCTATGAAAATCTTGGAAACTTTTAACTAAACTTTCTGGTTAACAGTGAGTTAATTTTCTTTACAAAAGGCCATGATTCAGATGACATAAAGAGCAATATATTTTTTAAGGGAGAAGAGAAAAATAACGGTAAAAGAAATGAACAAGGTGATATGTAAACTCCCATTTCTAAAGAATAACTAAAACTATTCCTTTTTCTGGTAAGGCAGTTGCTAGCTCCTTGCTTTCCCTGTCCTGCTGTTCCACCTAACTCACTTGCTAGGTGATAAGGCTTGTCAGGTCTTGCTACCATCATCAAGCCACTAGCTTCACTTCACCTTCATCTGTTAGTTTGTCTTTCTAAAAGCTCCGTGTATGAACACAATGAGGTGCCACTTAACTGCATTGTTTGTATCACACATCTGAAGAAAGCTATTTTGCCAGCTAAATTTTCTGCTGGTTTAGTACACTGGCACTCTCCATCTTAAGGCCAAAAGTTAATTCAGCTAGAGCAAAGA